TAGAATGTCATGAATAGGCCACCACAAACATTCCAAAAAAAAGGCTTAAATGCCTGATTCATCACTCTCATAAAGAAACTGAGAACATTAAAGAGGCCAAATGGCATCACCAACCACTCAAAAAGGTCTTCCCGTGTCTTGAACACTGTCTTTCATATATGATGGTACCCATACCGTAAATATATCTTCAAAAAAATCATAGCAGCAGCAAATATATCCAGCTTATATCCAGACAAAGAATCGGGAAGACATTTAATTGTAATATTATTAATGGGCCCTAGTGTCCACACACACACATCAAGCTCCATCCTTTTTTGGTGTCAATAGAGTCTGGACGATTCATTGTCACTCAAATGTACCTCTTCTGCAAAAGCGTTGTAACCTGCCTTTGCAACTCTTCATATTCTTTTAGGCTCATCCTATATGTTGCCTAGTTTGGAAAGCTAGGCCATGAACAAGGTCTATGTGATACTGGATGTTTCGCATAGGAGGTACTCCTTAAGGAAACTCATATGGGATGCATCACGATAGTCTCTCATTAATGGCTCTATCTGTGGTGGAACTAAACTAGTAGGCTGCTGCTGCAATCAGACCGTTACATACAACATCCTGGACTTGTCCATCTCCTCCATAAAGTCCAACAAAAACGATTAGTACAACCTTCATCTGATTTGGATGCACTTTCCTTCTTAGATGGACATAAAACTACTTTAACCCCATCTTGAACATAAGAGTAAGTCTTTTAAACCCACATGTATGGTGCACTAGTTATACTGCCACGGTCTTCCAAATAATAAATGACAAGCATCCAGAGGCACATCATCCCATATGTCATTTTTATAATGCTTCCCAATTGAAAAAGAAACTCGACAGCATTTATAAATTGTTATCTCTTTACCCATCTTGAATTGAGCTATCTTCCATGGCTTTGGATGGTTTTCCCTCTTCAACTTCAACTTGTCTACCATCCCTTGAGACACAATATTGAGATTATACACCTTCCCTTACACAGTGCATCATGTGTGGAAAATCTTTGTGTGACCAATATTTTTCTTCCACTAGCCAAGGTGTCATCATACTATGCAAATCACCAAAACTTTCCCATGGTCACTAAATGAACCTCAGGCTCATCTTCTTCAAGCACCTCATCATAAACAGGGTCTTCATTGAGTGAATGCTCGGTCCTCTTCAAGAATTTCATTAAAAAGGGTGACAAACTTCCTACTATGTCGAGAAGAGACACATCCAATTCCTGAACACCTATAGCACTTGATAACATTGTTGTTTGGTCGATTAGGGAAACTATACCTAGCCCTGTCACCCATTCTTTTTGCTGTTTCAATGGACCAGCAAGTCGAAACCCCAACCAGCCACTGTATTTGAAAGTTGGACAGGGTGAATTAGCATGGTATATATAGTTTTTTAATTTTTCACTTTTCTACCGGTTAGAACATTTAAATAAATCCAAATACAACAAATAAATCTCAAAATAAACGATGAAAAACAACGAAAAGAGGTTCTCACTTGCTGCCACTAATAAAACTTTTTCATTCAATAAATACAAATTACATACGACTCATGGGAACAAGAAACATAAACTGCATAATATAAAATTAAACTTGTCAGAAGATGACCTCAACTGGACTTGGTATACCCCACTCCAGGTCTCTTACTCCGATGGCGCACGAGATAAAGGTCTATCTCAAATCTTCAAAGTACGGGAAACCTAGGCTGTCAACCATTTAATCAGAGAACAATGGTGGAACACAAAACTAGGCCTCAATACCTACAATATGGGGCATACCCCTCGGTTTGCACTAGGGTTGGAGTGTGCCCCCTATTTTTCTTTCACAAAATATTTTCGAAGTCTCTCGAGAGGCTTGGAGAAATAAGAGAGGGAGAGAGACATGTAGCTTTGTGAGGGAGAGAGAGAGATTGAATTCAAGGTGTAGAGATTTTGGTACCCTATAAAGAGTATAGAGTAAGCCTCAGGGTTAGGGTTTTCGAGGGTTAGTCATCCTTATGGAGAATAAATCAAGACCTTTGATCATAAGAGACATGTGGAGTGAGAGATCTTAGCCTTACAATCCTTAGATCAGCCATCATGATAGAAAGGAAGGTACTAGAATCTTATCCTTCAACTTCTTTAACCTAATCCCATCAAATATACATAATATAAAAAATATCTCTTTTTCCTTTCTTTTTCATAATCTCTTACACATGCTTTATTTAAAAATTCAAATCTCTTAAAATGCAAAACCTTCCAGATTTGTTTCAAATTCTTTGAATGTCTTGATAGCCTACCGCTAAATAAGAAAGTGACTCCTTTAAGTGGGGCGTGCCTCTCATGAGGCCATAAGTGAGCCCCATGCACCTCCCACATGCAATTTTATGGTGTGGCCCATGGACCATAATGGACCCCCATGTGTTTTATTATTTTTCAAATGAGGAAAATGATTTTTATAAAATGATTAGTATTTTATTTTTCGCTCTAATTTATTAAATACTGAAAATTAAGTTCTCGACTATATATAAGTCCATTTTTTAGAAAATAAAATACCCAGATATTTCTAAAAGTTTATTCTACTAATCTAAAAATAATTTCAGGTCAAATTAATTAATTCTAAGTTAATTTGATAGGATTTGGATCCAACTATGTTAAAGAATGCAAAATTACTGAAGCACTCCATCTTCTACTAGAGATTATAATCCACACCCACTTTCTCAAACTGACCTAGTAGTTCTCATAACCCATATTCCATCACAGGGGTTCATGATTGGGCCACCAATGTCAGCCAATAGGTGAGGGGACATAATCCTAATCTATGGATTACATGTTCCTCTCTAAAGATAAGTCCAAGGTCACACATACCAGCGCACAGGCAACTCATATGATGCATAGAGGAGTTATCTCTAGCACATGTACATGTATCACCTCAATGGTGATTCGCTTCCGGATATGCCTATTATGTGTACATGTCGTGTGATGGTTTAAGGAGAGGCTTTGGCCCTCGTTCCTATAGACCCACCAATCATACACAAGGGTCACACAGTCCCTTAGCTCACTACACTGGGCAACTCCGACCTCATGAAGGGATAACCCTGCTAACCCTCATCGGTTGTGATCTATGCCCAGGTATTTAGGATTTTGTAACTCGACTAACCTGCCTCATTAAGCCTATCCAAAGTCTCGGCAAACAACATTTGCCAATCTCGGTCCCTCTGGACCATACTCCCATTGGAGTTCTTTGTTCCACTATATCAAAAATTGATTACATGCTCTCGTAAGGCCTTTAATGGCCACAAAAACCCAACGGTATTGTCACCTTTTCCTCTAAAATTTCCACCACAGCTGCATGTACCACCCTGGGCTGCTTTCCACCTTGATGAGGTCGCTTCTATTGAGCTTCTATCCTAATAATAAGGTCGTACACTTTATCCAATGTCTAATAACGTTGTAACACGACCACGTCTTGTGTGGATGTTTTCAGCCCCTTTACATAACGAGCTATGGATTTCTCCTGTCTTTCAACCGCATCACCTTGGGCCATTAACTGATGAAATGTATTCATCCACATTCCCCTCACCTTAACGGATGTTATCAACTTTAAATAAAGGGGCCGCAAATAATTTTCAAACAGGTGCTTTTCCTTCAATTTACTCTTCATCTTCTCCCAAGAAGTGATTTTTGGCTTTTCAATTCTTTCACTTCTAACCCTAAGTTGTTGCCACCATGCCAAGGCACCCTTGTTTAATTTATGGCAATAGTTTTCACTTCTTTGTAGTCAAAACCCTTTCTACAATATTCAACCAATAAATAAACTTTTCGGGTTCAGTCTTACCGCCAAACTAAAAAAATATCCAACTTCAAATTGGAATCCCTAGAGTAATTCTTCTGTCACTTTGCACAACGGTAAAGAGAGTTTTCCTCGACATCTTCTTGGGTGGAAAGATCACCGGCTTGCCCATGATTGAAGTCCGCAAATTCTTGTGCAAGCTTCTGAACCTACCTCATGAGATCCTCAATCTCATAATCTCTGGCATCATGGGCTAGGTCAATGAGAGCTCCCTTTCCATGATCCCTTCATACTGTCATAGATTCTCTGAAATCACAAACCCTAGGCTGAATTCAGCAAGTTCTAGGCGGAAATCAATAAACACTGGGCAGAAATCAGTAAATTCTTGGCTGAAATCAATAAACCCTGCTCTAAATTCAGCAAACCCTATACTTGACCAAAGATTTCCGCCCTTGCTGCTCAAGAATCATGTGTTTTGATACCAATTGAGATACATTTTTTGATGAGGAAAACAGATAACAGTACCAAGGGCAAACACACACAAATCTGAAGAAACCTATAGTTTCTTCTTCAAACCCAAATTAGGGTACCAAGTTAGCGCTTTTCTCTCTCTTTTTTTTCTTCAAATCACGTGGAATGATCCCATAGAGCCCCAAGCACCTCTTTTTATTTAAACTTTAACTACAACAGTCAGTAATGCCCCTAACTAAAAGAAAACTTGACTCACACAGTCCTAACTTAAAATAACTTAATTCACAAAAAAAAAAAAACTTAAAAGTAACTTAAAATTAAATTTGAAGTAAAATAATTGAATGTCACACACTCAATTAGAAATTTAAAATAAACAGAAAATTCACTGAAAAAATCCCAAAATAAGCTGAAAAACTTCCAGATCAGATATTGTTCTTCGTATTCTTCTTAGTAGCTCGCCTGGGGTTCACACCCTCCAAATAATTGCACATATTAGAAGGAACCTGCTGGTCCGATAAATAATAATTTTCGCTTGCTCCACTTGACACATTTTGCACGTCATTAGAAGAACTGCTTCATATAAACTTATGGCTTTTAACTAATTTACATCCCAATAAATGGCGACAACAGCCCATTTATTTCTATGCTATACATGTAATACCAAATGCATTACGTATAAGTATAAATTTATAATATAGGAAAGTTCACCGCTGCTGTAAACATTCAACCAACCTCATTTATCCAGACGCCAACTTTTTTCAGAGGTTTTGCCAAGTTGCGGAAGAGCTCTTGCAGAAGTTTTGACTGAAGATAGTCCAATTTTTCAACAAGAAGTAGGCCCCGCTGCCTCTCAGCAGCATATCCACGCCTGTGCATTAAGAGAAAGGGAAACAAATACAAGAAATAGTTAGTAGCATAACCAGAAAAAAAGGAGCTCTATGACTGGAGCAGCATAAGTGATAAGTAAATATAAAATAGAAGACAAGATTCCATTGGAAAACCATTCATTGGGGAAATCACAACATTCTTAATATTCAGTCCCCAATGGTTCTCATAAGGATCATACTATCACATGCTTCATAAATTCAAAACTCCAAATCGACTAGGCATCTTATTGGGCCCGCCCAACCAGGCAACCTCGACTTGACTTGCTCCCTATGACATGGCATACATATATGTAGATCTATGTATGTGGTGGTCGTGGGGGGGGGGGAGGGCGGGAGAGAGAGAGAGAGAGAGAGAGAGAGAGAGAGAGCTACTTCTATATTAAACAAATTATATGTGATATCGCTATTTAAACGCTAAACAGTGAATTCGACATCTGATGGTACATATTTGGGGGCAAGAAAAATATACATGCCCCATAGTAAAATAACATCTCTTCATGCCATATTGTTAAAAGCAAACATGGGTGAAATTTTCGTCACTTAAGTTCTTCATATTTCCACCTATGTTTTGGTTGGAAATAACAAGAAAAAGAATGATGTGGCCAAAAAATAGGAGAAAATATTGATAGTGTCCTACTCATAATTTGAAGCACTCTAAAATAGAAAATTCATAGTAATTAATTATTCAAAACACATGTTCGAATGTGATAATTATGAGCAACCAGCTACACTTAATTGACAAGCGACCAATTAAATACATGAATTAATGGCTGGTTTTACTTGCTGATAGAGTTGGTTGGGTCTAGCACTAGATTCAGATAATATGAGATTTCAACCTATCCCAAAACTTGTTGGGTTTTTGTGGTCATTAAAGGTCTTCTGAGAGCATATAATTTTGATATAGTGAAACAAAGAACTCCAATGGAAGTACGGTCCAGAGGGACCGAGGTTGGCAATATTGTTTGCCGAGACTCAGCCTAGGCTTGACAAGCTAGGCCAGTCGAGTATCAAAACCCTAAACACCTGAGCATAGAGCACAACCGAGAAGGGTTAGCAGGGTTATCTTTTAATGAGGTCGGAGTTGCCCAAGGGTAGAGAGCCAAGGGACTGTGTGACCCTTGTGTGTGATTGGTGGGCTTGAAGGGACGAGGGCCAAAGCCTCGTCTTATACCATCAGTGTGATTGGTGGGCCCTGAAGGGACGAGGGCCAAAGCCTCATCTTATACCATCACACGGCATGTACACATGATAGCCGTATCAGTAAGCAAAGCACCATTGATGGTGATGAAAGCACATGTGCGAGAGATAACCCCCATATGCATCACATGCGATGTGTGTGCACAGGTCTGTGTGACCTAAGACTTGTCCCTAAGGGGAACCCATAATCCATAGATTAGGATTATGTCCCCTCACCTATTGGCTGACTTTGGTAGCCCAGTCATGAACCCTTGTGATGGACTGAGGGTGATAGGAACTACTGGATCAGTTTGAGAAAATGGGTGAGGATTATAGTCCCTAGTAGAAGATGGAGTGCTACAGTAGTTTCACTTTTTTTCCTTAAATGATTTTTAAATTAATAAAATGCATTTTTAAAAGTCTCTGGGAAATTAAAATTTCTCAAAATAGATTTATAAAAGGGTGCGGTTTGTATAGAGCCTAGGCTCTAAACAATCAAATTAGAGCCTACCTTCAAATAGTGTCGAGAAATGTGGTTTCAATACTGAAAATCTTTTTGATAGCCTTAAAATATATTTTCATCTTTATTTATAAAGTTTAAAGCTCAAAAAATAGTGTAGATCGAGAGATCTATGAAAACTTGAAAATCTTGAAAATTGACGGTCCAAAAAAGTGTTACAAAATAACTATATTCAAAAGTTGAAATCTATTTTTCTCTCATGTCCATGCATCTTGATGTCGAGATGATCAATTTGAGGATATTTGGGCATCAAAACAACATCTTCTAATGAAATTTTTGAGGTAGGCTCAAATATGATTGTTTAGAGCCTCAGCTCTATATAAACTTTTCTCTTTATAAAAAGGCTAAAACTGAATTTTTAGTATTTAATAAATCAGAAAATAGCAATCATTTTCTAAAAATCATGTAATCATTTTCTAAAAATCATTTTCTTGATTTTATAAACGATAATACATAGGGGGGGCCATTACTGTCCATGGGTCCCACCATAATATTGCATGTGGAGGGGCTGCGTGGGGCCCACTTAGGGCTCCATAAATGCGTGCCCCACTCCACCTTCCTATTTGAAGACCACGCAAGATGGCATTTAATTGAAAAGAGATTTTAATTGTCAAATAAGCATGTGTAAGAGAAAATATGGAAATTAAAGGTATCTGCAATATATTTTTTATATATGGAATATTTGATGGAATTAGGTTAAAGAACCTAAAGGATAAGGTTCTAGCACCTTCCTTTAGATCATGATAGCTAAACTAAGAACTGTAAGGCTAAGATCTCTCACCCCGCAGGTCACCTATGACCAATGGTCTGGATCTATTCTCCATATGGATGGGTAACCCTAGAAACCCTAACCCTAACCATGATTCTATAAATAGCTTCTATGGGGGGTCATATTCTATATGCCTAAGATTATATCTCTCTCTCTCCCTGTCTAAGAGCCACACGCCCCCCTCTCTCTCTTGGATCTCTCTCATCTCTCCAAGCCCCTCAAATACTTAGAAAAAATTTTGTGAAAGAAAAAGGGGGCATGCCCAATACAATTAGCATTGAGGCTTGCTTTTAGTTCCACCATTGCTCTCTGTGATTGAAGGGTTAGCCTAGGCTTCCCATACTTATAAGATCTTAGATGATCACGTGCGCCATCAGAAGAGGAGACCTAGAGTGGGGTGTATCAAGTCCAGTTGAGGTAATCTTTTGGCAGTTTATTTTTATATTGTGCACTTTATGTTTCTTGATCCCTACCGAGTCTTGTGTAACTTTTGGTTATTGAATGACAGAGTTTTATTTAGTGCAGTAAGTAAGAGTCTGTTTTATTATTTATATTTATTTACTTTGAGTTTATTTTGTTGTATTTGGACCTTTGTAAGTGTTCTAGCCTGTAGAAAAGAGAAAAATTAAAATCCACATATACTGTGCTAGTTTGACTCTGTCCAACTTTCAAAACTTAAGAAAGATTTCTGATAGTATATGAAAGATAAATTCATGTTTTCTCCCTATTAATTCTTCCTGAACCTAAGCATTTATTCCTGGAAATTCTAGCAAGAGCTTCTGCAAGGTACAAAGATTAAGTTGACTAACCCAGCAACCAAGTTAGCAAACAGCAGTACATTCCACTATCCGGTTATCTCAGTCACTCAAGTGAGAGAGACAGAAACTAAGTTAATTAACAGGAAATCTTTGGAATGCTTTATGAGTCTGAGTCTAAGGCTGCAGGCTTTTGCATACAACCAGCATGAAGCAAAAAGAAAGCCAAGGTAACAACAAACAGTGAGCACAACCAAATGGCAGGCTACAAAACTTATGGATTATCAACGCATTCTGTTACGACCAAATTTTGAATAGCAGGATTTGCGCTTTACCAAAATAGTAATGTCCCTGGACTTTTGAACAAACCTAAAGAAGAAATCCAAAGGATTTAAACTTTTGAACGAACTTAAAGAAGAAATCCAAAGGGTTTAAACTTCCTCAAACAACCTGAAAGTCATTCCAGGAAGACAAATTTTAAGAAGTTTAGTAGGTCCTCCAACCAAAACCTCAATTCCATCAAAAATAATTACAGTGGTGCTGAAAAATTATCTCCAGTTCATGAAGGACTACAAGATTTCCAACAAGTTATGGAGAACCAAAGGTATGTGTGCAATAAGAAATTATTAAAAGATTCCAAATTAATCAAACCCCCTGCAACTGGCATAGCAGGAAGAAAAAACCCCACTAATGTGATAATAGGGGAAGATGTTCCCTTTAAACACTTCAGTGGAAAATCATTTTCTTGACTTTGAAAGCCAAAAGTGCAGCAGTAGCATGATGCCAAAATATTGTCACAAAACACCTAGAGGGTGGTAGCAACGTCCATGCCACATTTAGGGATCTTAGGATTGTTGGTAGTATAAGACCAAGTGGCTAGGTACACAATCTTTAAAAAAAATTCATTGTATTAAAACTCAAAGGCTTAAATACATGAATATCTCAATACAAAACCATAATCCAGCCTACAAGCTTCGTTTATTCACATTTGAATAATAAAAATTCAACCCTAATAGGTCCCTTACAACCCCTAGCTCAAAAATACAATTAAACTTGATACAATGTCCAAATATTCACAATATACATCTAGACGACATATTACATGACTTGCACTTAAAATTCTTCATTATATCAAAATTACACAAAAAATTCATATTCATCCTCATCATATATCACAATGTCTCATACACATCATACACTTGATTATAATAAACCAATGAAATTTCAATTCACATAAACAATAAAACATAGCAATAAAGCTCATACTACAATATTAAAAGCACAATTCTATTTTTCACTTAACATACACAATTTCTTCAACCATGAATCATTTAATAACTGTAAATACAGTAAATAAACATGCATACAAACATGTAGGAAGCCATGCCCTTGTGCCCGGGGAACAAATTCGAGCCTTTTAGGAACTTAATTTTGTCCCAGTGAATAGTGCAAGAGTAGTTTATAATCTCAAGGGTGTCTAGTCCAATTAGGAAGCTCTTTCACTTTTAAAACTACTTTTTAGAGTCCACAAAATAGATTTAAAAACGTTTGCAAGAAGAATGGAGCAAATCGGATCAATATAGAGCAAGATAGAGCAAAACTACTTGTGGTGGTCCACCACAACAACTTTTCATGCAAAAGTTCCCACTCTAAATGACCAAATACACTTCTAAGAGGATCTACATATCTCTGGAATTTGAATAACAAGATTTAGAAATGCTCAAGAGAATTCGTACAAGGTAGATCAAAGGAAACTATGCA